AAAAGAGTTAGCCATAGCTAAAAAAAAAAAAAAAAAATCCACATTATAACATCCTACAGCTACAGGAAGCATTAGCACATCCTTAATTCCCCACAGTAAATACTGATGATATTCCAATAATACATATACAACATAATTTAACCAATCCTCATCTACGTTTATCAGTGAAAATAGGGAGCTACTAGATGTTGATGAATGTGAAAACTCTACATAAGGCTACCTGCATACAGGACACTCAGCCCTCCTGTAACAGCAGGAATTTATCGCTTAGCTGCCCCGACAACCTGAAGGCTCTTGTGTCTATCAGGAAATCCCCATCACTCACTGCTGATGCCAAGGCTACAGTTTCACATAAACTGCTCAGTGCCCTACCTTCTTAAAATGTTACCCTCTTTTCACCCACACCTTAGTGCTACAGCTGGCCTTGGGAAAACTTCCTAATCTGCCACGTGTGTATCAGACAGAACTGCTCCAAACCAGAACTTCCTTCAGCTCAGAACAGTGCCCTGGCTCCAGTTCAATGTGCAGCCCCAAAGACTTTTGTACTGGCAGAATGCAGGTGAGGGAGGGCCATGCAGCAGCACCTCCCTAAGGGAAAGGTGCCAGTGCACTGTTCATATTAGAGCAGCTTGAGCACACAATGCAGGGGCAGAAATAGCTTAAGCTGGTATCGCCATCAAACATGTTGGATCATGAAAACACAACCAAAGGGTGTAGTTTCACAGGACGTGAGCTTGGACAGCAAAGCAGTTTAAAGTTCCCACCCCACCTGCTCATTTCAGTGATCCTCCTTACAGCACAGCTTCACAAAGGGTTTTACTGACACAACAAAAAGATGGCAAAGTCTGGCGTAGAGGCAGGGAAGAAGCTGGCTTCACTGCTGAAGCCAAATCTTGTGAAACAACACCCTAAGTATTTGTTGTGGAAAGAACAGTCTGTCTAGTAACACTTGCCAAAGGCTTGCCAAACACCTGCTCCAAACCGTCAGAACTCAGACCCAGCAAATAATCCAAACTTTGTTAGAAGTTTTATTGAAGTGATGCAGTCACCAAATCATCTGAAATCAGAAGACCAACTGTAAGACTCAAAAAAAAAACTTTCACCCTACAATTTCAGATTTTTTCTGCAGTTTGAAGACTGGGAGGTGTATTAAAAATAAATTTAAAAAATCATTTATCCAAAATGAAGGTGTGACATCTGGCAAGGGAGCCAAGAAAACCTTCTGCTAGCACTTTGTAAAGAAGAAGCTGCAGAACAAGTTTCTCTTAAAAAAAGGGTTGTAACCGGTTTATCAGGTTAGAGGAATTCATGAGTTCTTCCACCTCTTCCCCCCCCATCCCATTTGTTTCCAAATGCTCATTTAACCAGTTTGTTTCTTGCTGAATTTGCTGAAAATAAATTACACCTGCAGCTCAGTTGGATGATCAATAGGCATCCAAACATGCTTGAGGGAACTGGCAATTTGCTTTCACCTGATAAAGTGGCAACCACTCTGTATTTTCACTTTGAGCATTATTTAGGGCAGTGTGCAGTTTTATCTTTCTCTGTTTAAGAATACATATTAAAATATTCACTGATGTATTTGATTCAATATATTCAATCAGCAAGACTAGGAGATTCTTTTAAACCAATTTTGAATATTTAAATGTCAATTCATAGATTAAAATGGAATGCTTTCAGTAGGTCCAAAAGCAAAGCTAGGTCTCACATGAGAATGTCTCCCTTTTTATGTATATCGTTCAAAGAAAAATGGTAATTGCAGCTAAATGCTGTAGACAGTTCTCCAAAATTATTAGCTCTTCTTAGACTTATCCTTTGTCAGGAAGACATGCAAATATTGCCTTGCAAAAGTAAAGTAACATGTCTTAAGGCAAGCCATGCTGATTCAGACAGGTTTTCTGTATGGGAGGGATTAAGAAATCAACAACACTTTCAACTTCATACAGGATCTTTAACTTAGAACCCCTGTGGCTACAATCAGAGAAGCACATGAGGATGTCAGCTTTTTGACGACAGAGTAATGAGGCTGAGAGAAAGGCAAAGTTCATTTTGGTTTTGCTTGTTAAAAGCAAGGTGCCATTCCTGCAAGGTTTCAGAGAGCAACCTGAGAATAATTGCTCTCTTAAAAGCTTGCAGAGTGGAAAACTATAAAGCTACAGCAGTTAACTAGAAAAAGATAAATAACATGCTAAATAAGCCAGTCCTGTGATTTGAGGATCTGAACAATGATATCCGGTAAGAATGTCCCAGTCATGCAGGAAGAAAACTATTCCCCTTGGTAAGTAGTGTAGCTGATGCATGTTTAGAGGCCTAGATCATGGGCTCAAGGCAGTTCCAAACACTTGAACAAGAGATCTCCCCCTTACTTTGTTAAATAAAAATCCTCACAGTTTTCTACTCAGTAGCATTCTGCAACATCTCAGCAGCTGCAAGTTCACCATTACTTGTCTCACATCAGAGGTATGTTACTAATGCCATTTTGAACTGAATACATCAAGCAAGGTGCTCCCAAAGGACAAACATTTTCCGACTTCAGGTAACTATTTCCCTGACATCCCTCCACCCCCACAAAGGAAAGCTATCACAACATTGCACATCACCTATGAGAAAATAAAGATGGATCCCGTAACTCCAGTAGAACCTATGGAATCAAATGCTTGTTACCCTGGACAAGTACAATATCTAAAATCTTGTAACAAAACATACAGAGCATATGCTGCAGCAACCAAGCTGTTATTTTGGGGCACTGTGCTTCAGAACCTTACCTTGTAAAATTACAACAACCAAAACTTATCGATAAGGAACCCAATTTCATAATATTTCTTAAAACAAACTCAAGTATTAAGCTCAGATTAGAGGCCTTTAGTAGACCTCATCGTTGACATGCACAGCAATAGAAGACTTGCTGTGGTCAGGGGAATAACTCCAGACCCACAGAAGCTGATCTACTGTTTACCAGCTACAAATCACTGATTCAGAACCACAGAATGTTTGAAGTTGAAAGAGGCCTCTGAAGCATGGATAAAAGTTACAATGGATTTGTGCTCAGTGATTCTCACTTCCCTCTGTGTGTAGAGACTGGGAACCCAAGGCAAAAAAAAAACAGAAGCAGGCACCAAAACTTTCATTTACATGACTGAGATGTGCTAAGGTGAGCAATTTTCAGCTGCATCATCAATTTTCTACCACAATCCAGGCAGGGTGTGGAAAACTAATTTCACATACTCTATAACGTTATCTCAAATCAAGGTACAAGTCTACTTCCTTTTCCTCCTCCTTTTCAAATAACCACTTCAGCTACCTGTTTCTTTTGCTAATCAAAATGCTTAACTGAGAAAGAAAAAAAAACAAAACCAAAAACCTGTATGTCACCTGACTCATCCTTAAAACACATGATGCAATTAAAATATCCTGTGGACTTGTCTTCAAAAATGCAGGAGAGGATCTACTATTAAAGAATATGGAGTTTTGTTTTTTGCCACCACTGCAAGTGGGAAGTTGAATTGATTCTCTCCTAATTCCCACAGGAGTCAGGACACAGATGGGAAAGGAGTGGAGTTTAAGTAAGGTGTATTCCAGAGGACTTATGATGGAACTGGCTACATCACAACTGGCACCCAAAAATTAACAGCAAAATCATTATTTAGTTGCATAGATATGCAAACAAAAAGGAAAAATATTCTTATTTTTCAAGAGTCTCTACCCACCTACACACAAAGGTACTATTTCCTTTTATTTGCTAAAGCAGACCCACCTACAGTGCAATTTACAGCAATAAGATACAATCTCTCATAAAGTATTGAGTATAATTAAAGTGTGTCTGTTATAAAGGTAAACAGAGTGTACTAGGCTAAGCTGTTCCAGATGTCTTTAGTGCAAGATCTGGGACAAGATCAAACCTGCAGCTGCACATTTTCTCAGGGGTTATTATGGAGCTTCAAAAAAAAAAAAAAATCACCTCTTGGTCCTAGACTCCAGCAAAACAAATGCAAGTAGAACAAATGCCACTGCAGTCAATGCTGACAGATTTTCAGCCACATAGAAGTTATGTTTTTCAAAGACACTCCAGAGTGTAGTGTTAACCATGCAGTATCAAAGAGAGTTAGGACTGCCAAGTCTGCCAAGTTATCTGTGTCACCAGAAGTTACAGCAACATGAACCTGTTCTACTGCCTAAGCGAGTTTCTTGCTGAAACACACCTACGAATGATTCAGACAAGGTGTGGAAAGCCAGGTTTATATGTTACACAAAAATGCACTATTGTATTTTTCCATTCAAGCACATTTCATGCATAGAAAGGACAGTGAAAGCAAGCAAACTTTTGGGAACTGCATTATGTATACACTATTCACACTAAATTTTTTGAAGTAGCTTAAGTCCTCTTGAGCAAATTTTACTGTTCAGTGTGATATTAAATGAGACAAAGAGCAAAACTACAAAAATCATTAAAAAATTAAACCAAATCAATTTATAATCCTCTCATTAGGCTCATCTGGAAAACAGTGATACACAACAAGCATATCTGATGTTACATGAAAGATTTTGAAGATTTCAGCTGATTTTAAGAATAACAAATGAGGAAAAGTTTTTAAATACACATTAGAGCAGCGAACCTGTAGATTAGAATGTACCATGTGAAGTTTGAAAGTTTGATTAGCACTCCTGTATTAGGTAGTACTCTTACTGGCTAACTCTTTTAAGGCTTAAGAGAAACTTGGGATAAAAGCAGACCTATCAAAACAACCAGAAGTCAGATCTTCCAAGGACTTATAACATCAGCTCAAATACTCTAGTATCATACATAACTGTTTCAGAATTATGAAGTTCCCATTTCAAATGGTTCAAGTTTCTTTTGGGTTAGCTTAAAAACAAGCATGAAAACTTGCTAGTGATTTCAAAGTGAAAGACAAAACTAAAGTCTGTTTCCTTTTTCAAATCCATTAAACCTCGTTCACAGGCGTCACCCAGAAGAACTCCTGCTCCCAAAAGCAGCACCTCACCTGTTGAAGAACCCGGTCCAGTGGTTCAGCTTTGCCCAGTCCCTCTGGTGTTAAGCCACTGACTTCGCGACACTGGTCACTTAAGTCCAAGTTGTCTGCTTTCACCAGGGATTTGTGTAGTGTCCCTACCTAAAAACATGTAAGAAAATATGGACAAAAGTGAGGAACAATCGAATTAGCTCTTTATAGCAATGTGTTGAGACTGAAGAAAAATCAGAAAAGTGCAGTATCCCCTCCGGATAAATGCCAGGAGAAAACGCATTTGTCTATTTCACAAATCGAAACCTTTGGCCGCGGTTTCTCTCCCTCCCACCCCGGAGAGCCACGCTCTCTGCCTCGGAGTATCCGAGCCCATTTTCATGGGAGGCCTTTTGCAGTTAGCACCGACTTTTGTGGGAGTTGTTAAGTGGAAAAGGAAGATCACTTAATATTAAGGCAATGTCACGAATCCACTTATGAAATTTATAGTCCTGTTTGTTTTATTAAAGCCCTTCATCTCTAGGGGGTTATTTATGATAGGGCTTTTGGGGAAGAAAAAAGATTAGAGATGACTTTTAGGTTGGCCTAAAAATTAAAATAAGTCAATATTCTCTTAAAGGTTATCCAAACATTGGTTAAACAAACAAAAAACAGGCCCAAAGGGTCCAACGGTGACCGAGAGCCGGCTCCCAGGGAAGCGAGCACACCCGGAGCCATCCGGGGCAGCTTTTTGTTTTAAAATTTCAGAAGTCCGTAGACATCCTCAAAGCTACGCACCATTTAAGGCGGACGGGGCAGTGGAGTGTGGAAGAGGCCAAACTTTCTTTAAAAGTGACTTCTTCCCTCAAGACGGAACAAAAAGGAGCTTCCCGAGCGAGCGCCCCGGGCAGGGAATGACCCCCGGGCACGGCCCCGCGCCTCCCCTCCCTCGGTGCATTTGTGAAATGAACAAACGGCTCCGGGCCGGCGCCGAGGGGCCGGGAGAGCCCGCTCGCCCCGCGCCGGGGAACGCGCCCTCGCCCCGGATATCGAAGCCATACCTTCTTGCTGTGTAGATCCACAACTTGCCACACCAAGAGAATTAGTTCCCTCTCATCCGAACCCAGTTTAGCCCCATATGCACCAGCTGTTGCCCCAAACAACACCACCAAAGAGTCACTGTGCGAAGCCGTCATGACCACAGGGGGAAACAGCTACAATCAAAAGCAGAGGTCAAAAAAAAAAAAATAGAGAGAAAAAAAAAGCAAAAGAAAGACACACTAACAAACAAGAAAAAAAATAAAACCAAAAAAATCCCACAAGGCTCATCCCCTACCTCCAAGTAATCAAAGAGAAAAGGAGCGAACGAGGAGTCACAATATAAAGAGAAGAAAAAGAGCTATTTAGGAGGTTGGGTATTTGAGGGGAAAAAAAAAAATGGAGAAAGAAAGCTCCCATCTCTACCTGTTCCCGGTGATCTCTTTCCCGGGGCCGACTGGGAGGTGAAATTAGCAAGCTGTGGGTTTCTTTCCCTCTAACATCATGGCAGAAAGACAGTCTGGGCTTGGGCTTTTTTTTTTTTTCTCTCTCTCTTTTTTTTTTTTTTTTTTTTCCCTTCCCTCTTCCCCTTCCCCTCTCCTGAGTTACCTGCCCTTGGTGCAGCTCATGTGTCTCTAGTCAATCTCCCAAAGGGACAAGGCCATTGGGCCTCTGGAAAAGGTGTAGGAGGGACGCAGGGAGAATCAACGCCTGGCTGATCTAGCCTGATTGGTTTTTGAAGGAGATCAGAGGCAAACTCCCTTTCTGTCTTTAATTCTGCCTGCAGGAAGTGCCTCTACCTGCTTTCAGTTCACGGGATCCCGCCCAGCGCGGCGTGCGGGGCACACGGCGCTCTGCGCGCCCCGGCCCGCGCCCGTTTTGGGGGAAAACCGAACAATATTCGAGTACAGGTGCAAAAAAAAAAAACATTATGACTTAGCATTGAATTCCACGAAAGAAAAGTCTTTACCTGCTTCTCAGTAATTGCCTTTTGTGTGCGTTGCTGTGTGTGTATCCAGCTACGGACGCCAACGTTAATGTGTAATGAAAGTGTAGTATTCCACAGGGATTTTTAAGGGATATTACAGGCAGAGAGTACTTTGTAATTTAGGCCCTATCTTTCATACAGTTTGTAAAGATGGGTCTTAGTAAATCAAATTTTTTGTTTTGAGAAAGGATGTATGTAGGAAGTTTTGCAAGAGCACAGTATAAAGCCCTGCATTTCCTACAGCTGCTCAGGAGCTTACTCCTGGGCATTTACAGCAGTCCAAGGTGAGCAGCTTTTCTCCTCACCTGTTTCACTGCTGAGACTACAATGGGAAACCACCACCGAGTCTAGCTGCTATGAAAACATTCCTGCTCAACAGCAGCAGCAGCAGCAGTAATATTTGTAACATTGGGGACTGAGAAATTTTTCAGAGATATTGTCAAACTCAAATTGATTTTAAAGCAGAAAAAAAGATCAAAAAGCTTCTAAACTCATTTGAAAGTTATTTTTCCTATTGCCACCACTGATGGGTTACTAATGATTTTTAAAGGCCAAATGCTGCAAGTTAAACTAGTCATAATTTTTCTTTCATTTAATTAAGTCTTCAGTTTATACTTCAGTATTAGTATTGTGTTGAAATAAAGCTTTTACTGAATGAAAATTGGTGCTGCTATTTAGGTACTGATATCTACCCTGGGAAAATGCAGAGGTGGGCATTTAACTGTGAATATCTGATGGCTTAAATTATTAAATCACATTTTCTCATCTTCTTTTAACATTCCGATTTTATAATTGATTAATTATAGTAGTTATTGTGGACTTCCTTCTGGCAAACACTGATTCCCCATCCTAGCACCACCAGCAACACAAATTCCATTTATTTCAGTGAAAATAAACTACAGTTCAAGGATGCTGTCTGATGTGAAGTATCTTAGAATTCACGTGTTACGAGTTTACCTGACAGAGACCATGCAGGAAACCTTGCACAGGTGCATCTCACTGAACATCACAAAACAGTTAAACATGTCTCAGCTGCTGTCTCTGCAGCTCATGAAGCTGCCTAAGAAGCAATCCTGAAAATACATTGTTAGAGAAAGGGCAAATTCCTGAACAGAGATGAAAACTTTTATCGGTAACATGTATATATTCGTATATTCAAAATGTTTTCAGCATTACATTTTCTTGCACTGCTGAATTTATAGCCACAGCTATATTTTCCCCTGCCAATGCATTTCTAGAAATCCTTGGTAGAATAAAACCCCATTTCTTTCCCTTTTGTTATTTCCCTTGGATGTAGTGGTTATGAAATAATGTAACAGATCGTTATTGAGAATGGGATGATCCTTATCCCTGAAGTCTTTAATAAGAACTATAAAAATGCATTGACTGCAAGTGTGAGAACTATTCCTTTTTTCCCAACCTGTTCCCCCCTCCCAAACTCACACATTTATATGGGGGTGTTTGGAGAGAGGCAGTGTTTGTACAGATAAGTGTAAACACAGATTAAATGTAAATACAGATTTTAACTGTAGCTATGTTCACAGAAAAAAAAATACCAGGCTGTTGCAATTTAACTTCCTTCACGAGGATGTCATTTTGTATATACTAATACATGAGTACTTCATACATAATGGGATTTTCATTAGCAGATTTCTATAGACAATCATACACATGAAAAATTGGCCAGGTTGACACATATGGTCACAGGCTCCATTGAATTGGCTCAGAAAATGCCAGTACATATGTACTTGTCTTTAGGATCTAATGTGGAAGAAAAATGATTGTAGTTCATTTAGAGCAACTTGTCAGATTAAATAAGTACTCCCCAAATCAATGCCAAAGACCCTTGAAAACTTATTTGAAACCTACACATGATATCAAAGACTGGTAAGCCCAAAAGTTTCTATGCCTTTTACAATTGTATTAGCTCATCTCATAAAATGTAGCCTCTCTTCATAGAAAGCCCATCTGGTTTCTACTTTTAGACTATCTTGACTCATATAATTCTACTGTTACTAATTTATCTGAACTATTCTATCTAAATGAATTTAAAATATATTCTAAAATGTTTAAAAAAAACCTTAAATAAATGCTGGCTTTCCTGCACTATCACACATTTCAAAGTATCAGATCATGCAACTGGCTTTTCATTCATCTTCTATCCACTACCCTCCCATTCTCTGCCCTGAATTATACTAGCAATTTATTAATCTAAAAATATGAAGGAATGGCACTGTATGTCTCAACAGAACAGCAAGAGGATCCAGTTCCTGAAAAACATATGGGACAAGCCCTTGTACACTGAGCATAGAAAGGTTAATTTGTAACCAAGATCTTGCTGAAATAAAGAGTATTTGCTCACCTTTAGCTTTAATCCTGGCAGGCTTATTTATAGAGGTACGTATTTGTAGGCTACATACGACCATAACGTCTCATAAATGTAACTGGGTGGAGAAGAAAAGTTTTAAAGATGGACATTCATTGTTATGCAAGCTCAATATGGTGATTATTTTGTTTCTTATTAATCAAGCATTTAAAACTGTAAAATAGATCAGTTTTACAGTTAGATCACATGAGAACACCAAAGAGACTCATTAAAAGCAGTGTGCTTGCAATGGATAAATCTGTAGTGGCATTTTCATTCTTACTGGGAAGGGAAGGGAAGGGAAGGGAAGAAGAAATAAAGAAAGAAAAGAAACCATCTCTTATACTACATTATTAAAAATTCCTGTGAACTGAATGTCCTGATGACTGAAGTCCTTTTGTTAAAGCCTAATAAAAGGAGTATGAAGCTTTGAGACATGAGATCTGGAGTAATACCCTGGCTACATTTAGATCTACAAAAATAACTCAATAATCTTTCAGGTAACATGGAAGTCAATCCTCTGTTCCAAACTAGTATGATATTGAGAAGTTATTTGTCCTCATGGATATTTTACTCATCAGTTAAAAGGAGGAAAATTATGGTGATGATGATGATGATGATGATGATGTGACATTTAACCCTGTAAAATGGTTTGAAATACCCTGAAAAAAGTTAATAAACTTTGAAGTTGGGTCTAATTTCAAAATTGGCCATGGTAGCAGAGCAAGGATGTACACCAAAAGATGTCCAGAGGTCTCTTCTAGCTAATTTTTTTCTATGATTTTAAGAAACAGAGATATTGAATAAGTATGGTGCCTTGATGTTTCTCTGCACAGTAGGGATAGTAAATTCTCTGCATGCCTCAGCATCTCCAAACTGAGCTGGCACTGGAAGTAAAAGATCTGTAAGTGATCTGTAAGCAAATGTGAGAAGATATTTAGATTTCATACCCATTCAGTCCTTGGCTCCTGGATTAGATTATAAATTACTGCAGCAATATTTGCAGAAGGAGGAGCTTACTGTAACTCCTGAAACATAAATCCATATGTAAAGAATTTTCTGGCATCCTTTCTTTAACAGCAAATGAGTGGGAAAAGGCATGGGAACAAGCGTTTAGCAGTGTTCTTTGATTGCTGTCCAGATGTTTGGAGAGATCTCATTTTTTGGTCCGCCAGGTAGGTCTGCCATGATTAAAATGCACTGTAGAAGCCTTGAAATCATTTCCATTGAGACATCCACAAAAGCTCAGCAATCTGCACAAGAGCTTCAGAGCTGTGGTTCTGAAGGATTGTTACCCTGCAGATACCAGCACCATCAAGGCAATGGAAGTATTCACTTAGAATCCTGTATCAGTTGAAATTTATTTCTATTGACTTAAAGGTAAATTAAAATATAAAATTAATGACTAGACAAGATAAATAAAAATGAAATTACTTCCCCTATTATTTTACATAGCTTCTCTTCTTTGTAGTATGTCAAACAATCCTGTGGTTTAATCCTACAAAGGTTTTATATGTGCTCAGCTCCCACTGGAGTATTGGTGTGAGCTGTACAGACAAAGTTCTCCAGATTACACTTACCAGACTTTTGAAAATCTAAGCATTTACTTTGATACCAGATTTGTGGACAGGTCAAACATACTAGTGTCTTTCATAAATATTATTATAGATTTATATCAAAGTTAACAGTTTATAACAAATAAACTAAATTTCCATTTTTTAAAAATTGGAAATAATGCTGTCAGTCAAATAATTCACTAAACAGGGGTCTGGATTTAGAATCACTGAGATGATTGCTGACAGGGATCTCTGCACATCCTCTTGTCCAACACAGGCTTCCTGCCAGCACTACATTGAACCAGCCAGTATTCTGTCCAGCTGTGTCTTGGAAACCGCCATGGATGACCTGTTCCAGTGCTGCACTGCATTGCTGATGAGAAACTTTCTCCTGGTTGCCAATCTGATCTCACTGCTAAATTTTTAAATAATTCACTGCAACTAGTTGAGACAGGTTCTTTAAGCTGTGGTAAATTAGACAAGCCATGTGATACAATTCCTGCTACCTAATGAGATGAATATGCAAGTACTTCCTGACCCTTTCAATCTACCTTGCCTGTGATTCAAAATTGACTTTGTGTGAAGCTTTACTGCCTTTAAAACCAGGCTAAATACATTTTCATTGCAATTGCT